CGCGGAGGCGCTCGCCTCATCTTCCGGCGCGCGACTTGGTCTTCGCGTAGCCCCCTGCGCTACACCCCGTCATGGAGGCCTGGGCGGCCAATCATACCCAGATTTTATGTTATGATAATGCTGGAGCACAGGATACTGCTGTGGATGGAAGAGATCTTTACGACCCGCCGCTCCGCATCCACCTTAGCCCCCATTTTTGCCAAACGATGCAACTGTGGAAGAAGAAATGAGAGCATTGATTACAATACGATTAGATCTGACCCGGTCGGTTCACCCCGCACGCTCTTGTAGTGTCTCATGATCAGCAGCGGGGCAGGGGGGGGCGGGGGAAGGGGGCGGAAGTGGGCGGAAGTGGGTCGGGGCGGGATGCGCGGGGCGGGATGCGCGGGGCGGGATGCAGACGCGAATCAGGATGGATCGGTGGCGGCAAATGTGGCAGACGATGACTGGAATGGGTGGAAATAGGACTTTTTATTGAGGGCCTGGAAAGGCGCTCCCTGTACCGTTTGCGTATCCCGTCGCCTCGTCATTAAACGTCCTCCCGTCAGGCGGGAATATCATGGTGCAGCGTCGACGACCTCCCCTCCTCTTCCCCCTTCCCCTTCCCCCCCTTCCACACCCCAACCTCGCGGCAAAGTCTCTCTCCCATTCACGAAGACGGGGCCTCCGTGTGATGCAGCAGGCCAATATCGCGAAACAGGTCGCCTTCAAACAGGTCATAGAACATGAGGTGGCCCGGGCCCTCAATCAGGCGGGCCGTAAGCTTCCCCGGGCCCATCGCGAGCCCCCTCTCCAGCTCACTGAACATGGCCGGTGTACACTTATCATCGGTGGGGCATCCGTATAGCCAGACGTCTGCGGCGACGTCGGCCAAGTCAAAGCCCCAGTCGGCGGTAAGCAGGGCGTAATCGTCGGCCTCAGCTCGGGCGCCGGCGTCCCTCGCGTACAGCTCGAGGGTGCTCTCCGCGAAGAGCCTACGAACGTCCTCCCTCCCGCGGAAGAAGGCGTTCTCCTCGTCCGTAAAGTCTGCGCGGCGCGGGTCAAAAACGTGTCGCACGGCGGCGCGCGCGGCGAGCCACACGAGCGCGCGCAGCACCGGTCGCGGCGCGCGCGCGGCGGCCCAGTACGCAATCCTGTTCCCCAGGGCCATGCCGCGGGCCACGCCGGGGACGTTGGGGCTCAGGCTGGAGACGACAGCGAGGGCGTCCCAATT